AAGATCTGGAATATCCCGGAATCCCTCACTTCCAAAGCAAAAGCAGCCTCGATCTCCAGCCCAGAAACCCTCCATGCCAGAGTGACTGAGAAGGGCCACAACAAGGTCAGGCTCCCCCTGAGCCCGGAACGTGGCTCTGGCACTTAAATCTCCCTCTCCCGTGTTCCCCCTCTGGTCATTCCCGGAGCAAAGGCTGAAGTGCTTTGTGCTCCTCTTCCCCCCCAGGACATCAACAGCGTGGCAGTGTCCCCCAATGACAAGCTGCTGGCCACGGGCTCGCAGGACAGGCTGGCCAAGCTGTGGTCCTGCTCCGACTGCTCCTTGCTGGGGGTGTTCTCGGGGCACAGACGGGGCATCTGGTGCGTGCAGTTCTCCCCCGTGGATCAGGTCCTGGCCACCTCCTCGGCAGATGGGACCCTGAAGCTCTGGGGCCTTCGGGACTTCAGCTGCCTGAAGGTGAGGAGAGATCCTGCCCCTGCTCCAGGCAAAGCCTTGGGGTTGATCCTTTGGAAACTGAGCTTCCTTTCCCCTTCCCAGACCTTTGAAGGCCACGATGCCTCAGTGCTGAAGATCATCTTTGTGAGCCGAGGGGCCCAACTGCTCAGCAGGTTTGTGCCTGTCCCGGGAGTCTGGGGGAGATCCACAACTGGTCAGGAGGGAATCTCTTGGCTGAGCAGCAGCAGCAAGAGGGAAGAGTCTTGTGTCCAAGGAGTCCTTGGAAAGACTGATAGGAAGGTGCCATATTTAGGCCAAGCTTTCTACAAGGGCTGAATGAATCCTCCAGTTATTCCATGGATTCTATTTATCTGCTGTGCATTGCTGGGCTGGGGACACACACAGGAGACAGAGCTAAGGGTGCATCTTGCCCTGCACATTTTGTTTAATTCTGTTCCTGTTTGGAAGGCACTGGAATGGGACAAGTTTATCTGATATTTGAGGGGGGGGCAGAGCAAGAATGGATCTGTCCAGTGATTATTTTTTTTGGGTTTGTGTTTCTCTTCCTAAAGTGGATCTGATGGTCTCTTAAAACTCTGGACAATTAAAACAAACGAGTGTGTTAAGACATTAGATGGTCATGAAGATAAAATCTGGGGTCTTCACTCCAACAAACAAGATGACATGGTGGTGACAGCCTCCAGTGACTCCTGCATCACACTCTGGCAGGTACAGCACGGGGGGTCCTGACTCCTCTCGGGGTTAATAATCAGGATAAATGGAGAACTCAGGATGCCAGTGGCTTGTTCCTCATGTGTTCCTATTTTCTGCACTTTGGAATTGGGTCAGTAAGGCTTATCTTGGGGTTTGGGGTTATTTTTTGGCCAGACTGTGTTTCCCCTGCAGCAGATGGGCCCCAGCAGCCTCAGGCACTGGTGGCTTGGAGGGAAGTTGGGAGTTGCTGGATTTAACCCTTAAATTACTTGGCCTAGAGATCTTGCTGCAGAACCTGCTCTCCTAAGCACTCAATGGCTCAATAAAAATCCGTGTGTATTAAAGCAAGATTTGATAAAGTTTTATCCTGTGTTTTTATAGGACGTCACTGAAATTGAGGAGAAAGAAGCACAAGCTAAACAGGAGGAGCAGATTATGAAGTGAGTTGGTCTTGTGCAATTAAGAGCCGTGAAAGGCAAACTGGCCAGTGGGACTGCCCACACCTGGAGCCATCCAGCTCCATCTAATCCCAGTATTTAGTGGGAGCACCGAGGCATTTATTGACAAGCACCACTGACTCGTTGGTGTGACCCCCCCTGCACGCTGTTACTGCCAAATCTGCTGCTTTTTGTGCAGTGCTTGTTTCCACCACTCAAACACTGGTCTCACTCTCGACCCTGATTTGTTTTTCAGAGAGCAAGAGCTTTCTAACCTGCTCCATGAGCACAGGTACCTCCGAGCCCTGGGCTTGGCCATTTCCCTGGATCGGCCTCACACCGTGTTGACGGTGGTCAAGGGTGAGTCCATCTCGTGCTCCGAAGGCATTTTCCTGCCCTCTGCTTTCCAGAACACTCTTTCCAGGCTCCAAGGTCTAATTATTAGTCGGAAAGCCTCAGTGTTCCCTCTCTCTTTCCCGTGTTCCTGAGTGCAATCACCCCAGATAACCAGTGGTCTCCCTGCTCTCAGCCTGGGCTCTCCCTTCTCTCTCTGCAGCCATCCTTAAGGAACCCGAGGGGAGAAAGCACTTGGAAGAGAACATTGTTCGGCTCCGGAAGGATCAGAAAGGTTTGTCACGACGTGGTTTGAGTGTTGAAAGCTTCCAGGTCAGGGGCTTGTTTTCTCAACTGAAATTAAGAATCCTAAAATAGAACCATGGGATGGTTTGGGTTGGAAGGGCCTTAAAGCTCATCCAGCTCCATCCCCTGCCGTGGGACATTCAGGGGCATTAGGCCTCGTCATCCCACACATTTAGGGTGTGATGGCTCAAGGAATGGTTCTGTCTGGAATTACTTTGCCCCTCTGGGCTCGTCAGTCACTGTCTGTGGGAGCTGAACCTCTGTAAGACCCAAGACATGGGTGTGCCTCCCCCACAGAGGCCGTGCTGGCGTTCCTGGTCACCTGGAACACCAACTCCCGGAACTGCCACGAGGCCCAGGCTGTCCTGGAAATCCTCCTGAAGCACGAGGCACCCGACAGTCTCCTGCAGTTCTCGGGCATTAAACCTGCTGTGGAGTCCCTGCTGCCCTACACAGGTGAGTCGCTGTGGGGCCGGGCCTGGGGTGTCCTCCTGTGGCCTGGAGCACAGAATCCTGGAATGGTTTGGCTTGGAAAGGACCTTAAAGCTCAGCTAATCCACCTCCTGCCATGGGCAGGGACACCTTCCACTAGCCCAGGTTGCTCCAAGCCCTGTCCAACCTGGCCTTGGACACTTGCAGGGATGGGGCATCCACAGCTTCTCTGGGCAACCTGTGCCAGGGGTTCACCACCCTCACAGGGAAGAATTCCTTCCCAATATCCCATCTAACCCTGCCCTCTGGCAGTGGGAAGCCATTCCTTCTGTCCTGTCCCTCCATTCCTTGTCCCCAGTCCCTCTCCAGCTCTCCTGGAGCCCCTTTAGGCCCTGGAATGGGCTCTCAGCTCTCCCTGGAGCCTTCCCTTCTCCAGGTGAACCCCCCCAGCTCTCCCAGCCTGGCTCCACAGTCTGTGGACACGGGAAATGTTTGCACCCTGTTCCAGGGAGCTCTTTCCCACTGCCCTGATCACTCCTGTCCCTGCAGAGAGGCACTTCCAGAGGCTCAGCCGGCTGCTCCAGGCCTCCATGTTCATCGACTTCATGTGGCAGCACATGAGGTTGGGGGACACGGCCCAGCAGGACAACGGGACCCTGTGACCCTCCTCCCACCGGTTCCTCTTTCCGAAGGGGGGGAGCCTGAGCTCCTTCCCACCAGGATGGTAACTGTATTTTTAGTTCCTGTATTTTATAATAAATTTTTAAATGTTAATTTGTAAAACAAGCCCAGCATCCAATCTCCTCAGGGCCCAATGAGAGGAAAGGGTCATTTCTTTGGCCAAGCTCTGGTTTGTATTTTCATACCCTGAATTTTCAGGCCCAGACACTCAAACATCATTTAGTGTGGAGGAAAGGCAGAATCCCAACAAGTAGTTGGGCTTTACTGGGATTTAAAAACTTTATGGAGCTGAGAGGCACTCCTGGCAATGTCATATCATGTCCCCAAGCCCAGCTGGGCCCTGGGTGTCGATCACTGTTGTGCCATTAAATATTTTCTTTGCTTGAGCAAATGCAGCCTGGACCAAGGCAGGTCTCTCACCCATGCCCACCCCAAATTTAGCACCTGAGAGGGAGAGAAGCATGATTTTAATTCGCCAGGTAGCAAATTTTTAAGGTGTAAAACTCAGACTTCAAACATGTTTACATGTATTTTATTTCAAAGACAAAAATGTATAAAATTCGGAACGACACAAACATCTCACAAGTTGTTTCTAAAAAACATTAACAGGGAGAATAACTACAATCAAAGCCAGCAACGTATAGAAAAGCCTTAATTTTCCTAGAACTATTCACCTAACAAATCTAGCAACGAGTTTAGGATGAGAATTGCTGGGAGTTTCAGTAACTGCCAGACTCCCTTGGAAGGGGAATGTTTTGTCCATAAAAGTGACCTCTGCCCCTGTCCCCAGGTGGGACACAAGCTGTGCCACCCCTGTTTGTGCTCCTGTGTCTGCACAGCCACAGCTGGAGGGAACAGCCAGGGATGAGGTTCCTCCCCAACAGGTTTTTTGTTGTCACAGCCATTCAGCAGATGCAGCCAATCCATCTGATGGCCTCTCCACTACTTAAATTGATCTAAGCTGTAAAAAAACAAACCCCAAACCAACACCAAAACCTGAACAGTTTAAATATATACATTAAATATGGGGTTCAGGTAAGTGACATCACAGCTGCATCATCCCATCCCTCCGACAATCCAGTAACTGTAGCTTGGGCTGCCATTGGTGACTCTGAGTCACTCTGGTGCCACTTCTCTGCCCTCTGGGGTGGCTGCAGCTCACCTGGTGTGGGGAATAATGCAACAGTGACTGTGAAATGTTCAACTGTTCACATCCTGCATGGCAGAATGAACAGCTGCCTGAGGGAGAACTTACTGAATTCCAAGTGACCTCTAACTTAGGAGCTGCTGGATCCGCAGCTGCCCTGACTCCCCTGAGGAGTTAAACCACTAAATCCTTTCCCAGTAACTCCCTTCTGGCTCCCATTCTCCCTGTGAAGCCACAGCAGGAATTGGTGCTGCCCGAGGAGGGGATGGATGTTAGTGGGTGTATTCCTTGGGATCCAGTGGTGTCCGTGGGAAGCCACAGTCCAAGGGCTGATGTTCCCACTGGGCTCTGGTGAGGGGTGCCTGGCTCTGCCCGGGCTGTGTCCTGTCCCTGCTCTAGTGCAGGCTGGGCAGCAGTGCCTGGGCTGTGTCATTGTCCCTGTCCCCTGTCCCTGCTCTAGTGCAGGCTGGGCAGCAGTGCCTGGGCTGTGTCACTGTCCCCTGTCCCCTGTCCCTGCTCTAGTGCAGGCTGGGCAGCAGTGGCTGCAGGCCTGGCCGGGGGCTGTGTCCCTGCAGGGCCCGTTTGGTGACGGTGCTGCACCTCTGCAGGATCTCGTGGGCCGAGGGCCGTGCTGGCACCTTGGGGACACTCGTGGCCAGGTCAGGGTCGGGCAGGGGCGAGCTCAGGTCGGCTGCAGACGACTCCACGAAGCCAGAGTCGTTCCTGTCCCTGGGGGTGAGGCGTGGGGACTTGGTGCCGTGCGTGGCCAGGGCAGGGGAGCTCCTGTTCTGCTCCACTTCGGGCAGAGAGCGGGACAGGTCGGGCTTCCAGCTCAGCCGGGCGCCCTGCTCGCTGCTGCTGCCCGAGCTCAGGGACGAGCTCTCTGACTCCAGGTCTGAGGTGGAGCTGGCCCTGGGCAGAGGCCTGGATCTGCTCCTCTGAGAGCTCCCATCTTCTTCATTCAGGTTGAAGGAAGAGCCAGGCTGTGCCCTGGGCTGTGCCATGGCCTGCCCCCGGGGCTGAGGGGCCGACAGGGAAGAGCAGAGGTTCGGGGTGGAGATGTTGAGCCCGGAGTTGATGATGGTCTGCAGCTTGTGGTGAGGATTCTTGTAGGGCCGGAGGCACATGGAGGGCATGTAGCCCGTGCTCCCATTGTACCTGAGGGCAGGGATGGAAGGAACACTGAGAGGAGCCCTTCGGCCAGTTTGAACCAAGGGGAGGGAGCAGAGCAGGGCAGGGCCCAGCCCTGTGCTGTACGTGGGGTGTGAGAACTGGGAAACCATCCCTGGCCAAGGACATTCAGCTCAGGGATGCACCCAAATGGCAAGGAGAGGGCAAGCAGCAGCTGCAGCAGGTAACCAGCTCCCTGGGGAGGCAGGACTTTGGAAAAGCCTCCTTACCGGATGAGCCACCAGCCGTTGTCAGAGCTCCTGAGCACCTCCACGACCACCCCGCTGTGCAGAGAGAGCTCATCCGCCTTCCGCGCCTCGTAGGGCTGCACCACGAAGTACAGGCTGCCTGTGGGAGGAGGAGGAGGTCGGATCTGCCCCGTGGAGAAAGTGCCCCTACCCTGTGACAGAGCAGCTCGGCTGTGGGGCAGTGTCCCTGAGAGGGACTGGCTGCTCAGGGACCTCAAACTGAGTGATTTAGGTTGGACACGAGGGAAGATGTTTTTTCTACAATGAGGGTGGGGAGGCCCTGGCACAGGTTGCCCAGAGAAGCTGTGGCTGCCCCATCCCTGGAAGTGTCCAAGGCCAGGTTGGAGCAACCTGGGCTAGTGGAAGGTGTCCCTGCCCATGGCAGGGGGTGGGATTGGATGACCTTGAAAGGTCCCTTCCAACCCAAACCATTCTGTGATTCCATGGCAGAGTTGACCAGAAGAGTCAGAGCTCCAGAGATCCAGGTGGGGACTCCAAGCAGTGGTTAAAGTGGTGAGGTTTTGCAGAACTCATTTTTTAAGGTGTCCCAGAGAGCCAGGAGCAGACTTACCCTCCTCATTTGAGCTAAAGGTGTTCTGGATGTCCTCATGGACATCAAGCTCTTCCAAGTACGAGGCTGGGAACCAGGCAATCTGCTTGTCTGCATTTTCCACCAGCCACCACCCTACAAAGAGCAAAACACCCAGTTTTTAACAGCCTGCAAGTTGAGAGATGACCATAATCCCTGGATAAGGGACACAAGAGACAGGAGGGACGTTCACTGTCCCCCCAGGTAGGCACACAAGTACAAACACCTGCACTCCTGACACACTACCCTGGCATTTGCCGGGCTATGAATCAACCTGTCCCTTCAGCCCTGACACTGAAGAATCCCCTCAAACATACCAGTCATGTCCTTGATTAACACTTCAACAATTTCCTTCTGAGCCACTGTGAATGCCCTGTTCTTGGTGTCCTTGGTTTCAAAGCTCTCGATGCAGCGGTAGCTCTGGGACGCCTGGGGAAGGGTGATGGAGATGGGCTGGTGCTTCTTTTCCCTTCTAAATTCTGATGGCATGATCACAACACTGCAAAGCAAAGTTTCGCATCAAAAACTCAGGTGGAAGGTTGAGTTTAGCCTTAGTTTTAGTAAAATCACTTATGCTGTAGCTTTAGGCACCAGAGACGACATAAACCCAGATTAAAGCACCCAGCAGAACTTCCCTGCTCTGCTGCCCTCGTGTAACTGGTGTTTCTCTTCTACCTACATTCCATAACATTTCTGCTTTGTGAACAAAAAAAAAAAAGGACAACTCAGATTTCACACCTGTTTTCAGGGAAGGAGGGATCGAGGTCCTGGGTCTGTGCCTTGAAAAACTGATTCACGTCTCCCCCCTGGGAGATTCTTGCATCCATTTTCAGCAGCTCCTGGGAGTAGGTTTCCAGCAGTTTCAGGATCTCCAGGCACCTGTTCAGCTTCCCACCCTTCCTGTGCTGCATAATCACACCTTTAAAAGAACAAAGGCACAGTTGGTGTAAGACAACAGTGGGTCTGGATGTCTTTGGGAGCAGCATCTTTTGCCTGAACACCGGGTGTCCTCACCCACCACCCTTCCTACCCCATCCCAAACTGTACAAAGTCACTGTCCCTGCCTCCCTGTCCTTTCTAATAGCTCCTGACACAATTTTTTTAACATCTAAAATTTATCTTTTTTTCACATGTAAATATTTCAAGAAGGTGCAGATAAAGTGCAATTATCTAATAAAAAAGCCTTTCTGGGTTGTTCTAAGTCTGTACTAGACACAATCATGTTGATATAACCCAGTGGTGCTGTACCAGGAGCAGGAGAGAGCTCTTAACCTGTTCCAGAGGAAAGTCAGACTCAGAGACTTCAGTTTGTGTCCCCAGCTATGCCTGTCCTGTCCACTCACATGTTTGTTGGTCCATCAGAGATTTATTCTTACCTTTAAACCTGGGTAAACTCCTGAGGGAGCCACTCTCCATGGGGAATTTTTTCTTCAGCTCTTTCTAAAAGAGAGAAGGAGAGAACAGTGATTCCTCACAGCCCTGACACACAGCTGGGCTCCTTTCCCTCCCCAGGATGGGAATCCTGACATTCCAGGAACTGAAAACTCACTTACATGGAATTTCTTAAAGTCTTCAAATGTCCGGTAGATGAGAATGTTGTTCTGGTCTGACCAAGTCACAAACATCATGTAGTTCTGGGAAAAGAGAAGGGAAAAGAAGTGCAATTTAATCACAATGTTCCATCTGAGGTGCTTCCAGGCAATCAGCCTTTGCCACGAGCTGTGGGTTAGTTCTGGCTTCAGGCTGAGAGTATCACATTAAAAAATTCAATTAAACATTAAACCCACAAAAATATTTCCTTAAATTTAAGGGTTCCAAATGGGTAATCATAAATGAAATCAGGAGGATTTTATGGTGCTATGACAGAAAGAGAGCAAAATCCAAGATAACAATTTTCTTACGGTATTAAGCCCATTACAAAACTCCCTTTGTCTTAGATCCCAAGGCTCCTAATCCCAACACTGGGGAATGAGCAAACACATCCCTAGAAGAGTAAATCCAAAGCCCTCTAGTTTCCTAATTTATAATATATTTCAGGAGGAAATAAAAGCCAAAAATTATAAAAATTAACATACCTTCTGCTTTCTGCATTGCATGAAGCCAACAGCCTTCACATCCACGGGGTACCTGCTGCAGCTCATCTTCCCCACGCCTGCTCCTCCCTCACTGGCAGATGGAGGGATGTGTCCTGGAGGGATGTGTCCTGGAGGGATGGCAGCTGGAGGGATGAGCTGGAGGGATGCGTCCTGCAGGGATATCCTGGAGGGATGGGAGCTGGAGGAATGTCCTGGAGTGTTGTGCCCTGGAGGGATGTGTCCTGGAGAGATGTGTGCTGTGCTGGAGATTGCAGAGCTGTGGCTGCAGCCAGGACTCCCCAGGTTAAATACCCTGGAGCAGGAGGCAGGGCACAGGCGTTCTGCGCCTCCTCCTCTGCCCCGCCCCGCAGAAATTCCGTAGTTTGGCAAACTACCGGGTGCCTTTAACTTTTATCTTTCCCCCTGCTTCTAACATGCAAATAGTCCCGGCTGTGGCAGCAGGGACAGAGTTCAGGGAGCCGGGGAGCAGATCCAGCTTGTTTTATCACATCCCAGCCCGTGCTGGGAAGCGAGCCAGGCCCTGGGCGTGCGGGAGGTCACTGGGGCAGCAGCTCCTGCCCCGAGAGATTTCCGGGGACACACGCAGAGTTTTTATGGCTGTATTGCAGAGAGTTACCTGCAGCCCGGGATGAGCTCACCCCAGTCCCAAAAGCTGATTTACAACGTGGGTTGTCGTAAAGCACAAATCAGGCACCACTTGATACGTGTAATAATTGTTACAAATATTTTTTCTTTACGGCTTTGTCCCACCTGCTGAGATACTTTAAATGGATTTCTGGTAGCTTTATCAATATTCGAGTGCTCTCAGAAATTATGGGAGGTGCCAATGCCAGTGTTGTCATAGCATCACAGAACAGTTTGGGTTGGAAGGGACATCAAAGACCATCCAATTCCCACCCCCTGCCATGGGCAGGGACACCTCCCACTAGCCCAGGTTGCTCCAAGTCCCGTCCAACCTGGCCTTGGACACTTCCAGGGATGGGGCAGTCACAGCTCCTCTGGGCAACCTGTGCTAGGGCCTCACCACCCTCTCAGGGAAGATTTTCTTCCCAATATCTGATCTAAACCTGCTCTCTGTCAGTTGGAAGCCACTGATCCTTGTCCTGCCACCACATGAACAAACACGTCCCAGGGCCAAAAGCTCCTCAGATGTAAATATGGGATGGAGACTCAGCTCTGAGCGCCCTGAGCACTGTCCTGCATCCAGCCAGGTGTCCATACCCTCCCAGCTCTTCCCAAGGACTAGTTCCACTGCCCAGAGGCATGGAAAGACAGGTAATTCCAGCCCTGGATAGCCTGTCCTCTCCCTGAACCAGCGTGTGCCTGCCTCAGGTTATGACTTGGCTGATGGGCACCGAGTGATCAAACAGCCTTCTCTGTCCTCCCTCTCCCTCCTCTTTGATAAAGCCTAAATTGAACCATTTTATCATTATCACTATCATTATCATTATCACTATCATTATCATTATCATTCCTTCTGGATATCAGGCAGTACAGTGAGGAGGGCCTTGCTTTGTGTTCCATGAGCACGTGAGGCTGCTCCCACACAGCAGGATGGCAGCTCCTGGGGGCAAAGGGAGCTGTTTTGTTGCAGTTCTATCTATTGCTGCTGGATATCTGTCCTCCATTAGAAAGGGAAAGTCATCCAGAGAGAACTTTGGTTCTGTGTGTAATTTGGTGGGAAAACCCCTTCAATGGCACCTCCAGGGCACTTCCCGGCTCAGGAAGCCAGACAGGATCTGCTCTGTGGAAAGGTGATGTGAAGCAGCTCCCTGCTCTCCCCTAGCCTTGGAATCTGACCCTCCATCCCTCTGTTCACAAAGGGTCCAGCAAAGACACCCAGCTCAAAGGGTGAGGATTTTATGGAGAGACAGGAAATCACTTCATCCAGGGAGTTTTATTAGAAGGTTCAGCTCTGGGCTCTGCAGATGTCACGGCAGTATCAGTGCCCCGTCCTTGTCAAGGCTGATGTCACGAAACTGTTCCTTGGAGAATGACCTCATGAGTCAAGTCAGGTTAGCCTGGAGTGACACTACCCATGAAACCAGAGGGAGGGATGGCCAGATTCCCTCTGGAATCCTCAAGTGCTCCTCAACACATCCTCCACAACACCCGGCCGTGCCAGGGCCGTTTCTGTTGGGAAGGATGTATAACCAACTGGAATAGGCCATTAATTACACTTCTCTGCTGGATACATTTGAACTTATACAAAAACAAGACAAAACATCATTTTTTAGACATTATTAAGTTTACTTTTTGACTTCTACTACTTCCAGATTATCCTGCCATAAATCAGGACCTCCTCATGGGTAATTATTAACAGAAGGGTAGGAGTGGTCTGCTCAGAAACTGTGACACTCCTCAAGTATTGCTGGTCACTGCTGTTTCCTCATCAATTTACACAGCTTTGAGGGCAACAGTTACTTTTGTCTTTATATGTTTTACAAGGTACCAAACTGATCATAAATTAACAGGGAATATGTGGGAGTGCACTGCCTGGCTTTGCCAAGATGGAGGAAACGCAAGTTTTCCTCCATAACTTCCGTGAGTTTTCATCCTGCTCCAAGGGAGCCCTGCCAAGGTGGAGTTCTGCCTCCTGCTCCTCGAGGAGCATCACACCAGACTCCCTCCCCCAGGTTGCCCATGGTTGGGTCATCCAATGGCTCCAAGAACACCCACGGTCACCGGGGCTGTCCCCCCTGCTATTCCCATCACAAAATCATCTTCCCTTCCATGACAAATAAACACTGAGGGTCTGCTTTTCTTTGCATTCCAGTGTGGATCAGGAATAACCTAATCTGGTGGGTTTAACCAGATTACAGCAGCCCTGGTGGGACAAGTGCCTGGAGCAATCCTTCCCTGCATCCAACAGGAGCCAGAGTAGAGTTTGAGTGATAAGGGTGACCAAAGGCAGCTCCTCACCACCCCCTCCACAGCCGTTTTCCAAGTCTAACAAGCAATGGCCTCATCCCAAATGCCCACACGTGGAGAAGAGGAGGAGCTGTGTTATGAACAGCCTTTAGCACATATAGAAGTCATGTCTAGGCTGGTGAGTGACCTGTACCCTCACGGCTGACAATGTGTGGGACTCTGCATCAGGGATTTCTCTTTCTATGCCCAGCACAGGAAAGGCAAAGGGAGGGAAAGGCCTCAAACCACCCTCAGGACACTGGCTGCAAGGAAGAGATATGAGAAGGCACAGCCAAGGGGGGCCCTTGCCTGGAACAAGGCCTGTAGAAAAGCTCCATCTTCCCCTCCCTCACTTTCAGGATCAAAACCTGCCCTTTACTGTTCTTGAAGGTCATCCGTGATGACACACGACCTATCAGCACCTTTAATGAAAACCCCAGCTGCTAAAAGCTGATCTTAAGAGTACAAAGAGGGTTTAGACTTTTAATAAATTGAGAAACAGACCCTTATTTAAAAAGAATAATGAAACCCCAGACACTGGAGTCGACAAAAGTCTCCTTCACCTCATGAACAAAGGAAGCGGTTGAACTTTCACACAGGCTGGGATGAGAGATTTTGTAGTATCTAAACAAGAAGAATGTATTTTATTTCATCCTAATTTCAGCAGCTGCTGCAGGCTTTAAAGCATTTTTCTGTGGCCAGTGGGATCTGGTTCAGCAATCCTCAGAGATCCTATGATTCCATGACTGTGCTTGTTTTCTACAGACCCTTATTCTGCCCTTTCCATGAGCAGCCAGCACATGGAGAGGGGATGGTTCTTCGGACACTTTAATTGTCCTCTCTGTTCCAAGCCTGTCTCTGCTTTCCTCTGCCATGCTCCCACCTCAGCACAAATCCCACTCCCTTTAATCTGCAGTATCCTGGGATGGATCATTCCTGGGGCATCCCTGGTTATTGCCCACCAGGACTCAGTCCCTGCTCTGGATCACTGACAGCTGGTATAAAATCACTGCATCCCATCAAACTGCCTGAAACCTGGCACCAGAGGGCTCCTTTTCCATGAAAAGCCCTTGGGATGCAGCTGCCCAGGCCAGGGGGAGCCCTGCCTGTTGTGGGAGGTTTGTTTGCTGCCTGGGGTGTGTCAGATGGGCTCTTGTTTACCAAGCACTTGTTGCAATAATTTCACAGCTCCTTTGTAAAAGTGGCATATTTTCCTGAGGTCATGCAGAGGACAAAAGCGTGATTCAAGAGAGAATCTTCCAGAAAGGGTAAGAATGTAACTTAAACCACTGCAAGAGAAAGTTTCCTTTCATTGCATCATTTTCTACAAAAAAAAAAAAAAAAAAAAAGGTGTTTGATGAGTGTGTGGCCCAAGGTCAGCACACTGAGTGAACGTGCTGGGACTCAGCCATGGGATGTGAAAGGAGATGGAAGGCAGGGTGGAGTTTCCAAGGGGGTTCAAGGCCTGCCCTGTGTGTTCCCAAACCCAGTAGGGGAAAATCCCAGCACCACCAGTAAAGCCAACAGCAACTGCAGCAAGTACCAGGGAACGTGGAACTCGGGAAAAATCTGTTCTTACTTCATGATAAATATAGTAAAGTGATCAGAGACAAGATCACTGTGTTCCTTCCAGATTAGTCAGAGAAGTGCTCGTCCCACTCCTCCCCTTTCCTCATTCCCCACACCATCGATGAGCAGAGCATGCAAAGTGCCTCATCTCTCCTGGGGATTCCACCAGCAGTGCCTCCAGTTAGAAGTTCACTGTATTTCAGGGCAAAGACAAGACCTTTGTGTTCCTTGCCCCCTTCAGAAAACAGGGAAAGCAATATTTAATCTTCTCTCAAAAGCCTGGTGGGGAAAAGAGTAATGTGGAAGGAGAACTAAGTTCATTAATGATTAATTCTTATCAAGTCAACATAGCACCTGTTATCTGAGAATAATCTGTTCCACTGACTGAGACTTCCCGTTCAATTGCTTTGACTTACTTCTGGAAAAAGGAATCACCCCTAATCAGGGAGATAAGGAAAAGGAGACACCAGGTGTACCTATCCTGTATGGGACAAGTGATTTTAAAAGCTCAGCCCTCGTAACAACAGGGTCATTCATTTTTAAGAGGCAAAAATGGGAGTAAGATAAGGAAAGACCCTCAAAATCCACACGGGAAACAGCCACAACATTTTTAATGGACTTCAAATAGCATCTTCTTCCTAAAGCAAAGGGTTCTGCCACCACCGGACATTTTGTGGTTTATTTATCAAGAGAACAAAAAGAAATCCCCAATTTTGTTGTTTTGTGCTCAAAATGCATGAACTGATTCCAGGGATGCTGGAATGTTTTGTGCTCAAAATGCATGAACTGATTCCAGGGATGCTCAGAGGGAGTCTGGGAAGGAGGAGACAGACAGGAGCACGACACAAGTAGGATTGGCTGAACCAACCTGCAGAAATAATTTGGGTTTCTCCCTATCCCTGCCATTGCCAATATATACGCCACTGCTCCTGGGTTCTCATTTTAATCAGCAAGAGGATCCACACATGAAAACAGCACAGATTTTAAAATGATGAACTGCATCCCTGGGTACAGACCAGGGCCTCGGTTTACCCCGTGCTCAGTCGTACACCTCAGACTGCTCTGAACACATTTCAGTAGTTCTGGATGGATCTGAACAGAGATCAACATCCCACCCGCTGGCAGTGAGGCTCCTTCCTCACGACTGGGACATCAATTCATGCTTTTGAGAAAGTTTGCAGGTGATGTATTTCTTGTACCCAAGCAGAAGTGATCACTGTGATTCACTTACCTGGAAATATACGTCATTTTTTTCTGCTGCTGTTTCCTAGTTGGTTGTAATTTCTCAGACAACTGCGCGACTAATTCCTGGTGCTGGCTTGTCACTGGTTGGACTTTAGGCTCAACTCCTTACGTGTAAATACAAGTCAGCTTCCTGCTGGTGTATTCCCCTGGAGAGGGAAACAGTTACATTCAAGTGGAACTACCTAAAAACCGTCACAAAAAACTTGGGAAGAATTCTGAGAGGTACAGGGTAAAATTTTCCCCTCAAAATATCACAGAATCACAGAATGGTTTGGGTTGGAAGGGAACTTAAAGCCCACCCAGTCCCACACCCTTCCACTACCCCAGGTTTCTCCAAGCTCCATCTAACCCTGCCTTGGACACTTCCAGGGATGGGGCATCCAGAACCCCTCTGGGCAACCTGTGCCAGCGTCTTTATTTAAAACTTTAAAGAAATTACTGAATAGTCAGTGGTGTTTAGGTTCCCAAATGCTGAAGGCTGTGAGAATATTAGTCCTTTTCCCAACCCACAAATGGGCATCCTGGGGTCACTGCTGAGAAAAGAGCCGTGTGAAGCCTCCTTGGGATCATCCTTCCTTGTGTCTCCTCTCCTTGGAGCCAGCCCTCCTTGAGGTCACCCCTGCTTTGCTCAGGGGCTGTGTTTGAGCTGGAACCTTTGCTTTGCTGAAACCCACTGTGGGGATCCCTGTGCCATGGCTTTTGCAGGGCTCAGAGGGCCAGGGAGGGTGTCCAGCCCCATTCCTTCTTCCTTCCCCAAGCCCCCACTGTCAGCTGCCTGTTTGCAAGCTCTTGCTTAGCACGTGCAAAGATAAGAGCAGCAGATCAAACAGCTCTTCCCCTGAGAAAGGCAAACACACCCTTTCATTTTCTCCAGCTCGGGTTTTACTGGTGCTTCCTGGTAGTTACTGTCATTGCCCTCTGTGTAATTCCATTCCAGGCACGGATTCAGCAGCTCTTAGGAATGAGGCACATACTCAGGAAGCTGCAGTGAGCCCGGTCTCACAGACCTCAGTGACTGGAAAACAGGGGCTCTGTTGGCAGCACCTGCAGCAGGAGCCCTGCAAGGAGCCGCTCTCAGCAGGCACCTGGGCCGAGGAAACCTTGTCTGGCAGGGCAGGATGGAGCCTTTGCTCCCTGCCCGGGAAGCACCAGCTCCTAGGAGGGATCATGGAATCACAGAATGGTTTGGGTTGGAAGGGACATCAAAGACCATCCAATTCCCACCCCCTGCCATGGGCAGGGACACCTCCCACTAGCCCAGGTTGCTCCAAGCCCCGTCCAACCTGGCCTTGGACACTTGCAGGGATGGGGCAGCCACAGCTTCTCTGGGCAACCTGTGCCAGGGCCTCCCCACCCTCAAGGAAGGAATTTCTCCCTAATATCCCATCTGTGTCAGGATTTTGTTTGGTAACAGGCCCTACCACATTCCAGCTCCTAAATCAGTGCTGGAAGCAGAAGGTCAGGTGGGTTAGGGATGTCCAGGGGGGAGCAGGAAGGAATGCTGCCATATCCTTCTGCTCTGCACCACATTCCTTCCTTTGGATGGAATTCATTTGGCTCTGAGCTCGGATTCAATTAGAGACAGTAAAGTGAATTTCCTTGCTCTGATTTGAATCTGAGCATCTCTCCTTTTTTCCCTTTGAAATCCAAGATGATGTTAGCCCTGAGGGCAAACAGACAAAATTGGGAGCACCTCTCCCTAAAGATTCAGCTCTGCTCCTACAGCTGACCAGGAAAGGAGCAAGGGGAGTAACATTGAGCAGGGATCTCTGTAACCAACAGCTTCTTTCCAGGTTATGAGCTTTTTCTTTTCTAATAAAAATGCTTATATTTTAACTAACTTCATAAAATAAATCACTAATGAGGAAGCAAAGCCTGTGAACTGCCAAACCAGGAGATTGCTGCAATTTGAAAACATTTCTGCAACTGTTTAATTGCTTGAAGACCAAACAATAAAGCTCTGTAGGAAATTCCCTGGGTCTCTATCTTTTTTCCTGATTTTACAAAACAAATGAGGTCGATAGCATCATTTAAAACATTTATTGGCGCTTAAGGAAAACAGATATAAAAATGTTATCCCCGCTTGACCTTTCCTTCATGTGTGAAATGTAGCTTTATAGTTGTCTAGAACTGTAGACAAAGCCATTCCAGCAGTTCCTGTCAGTCACTCACATGGCTTCTCCCTCCCTCCCGAATATCAGCAAAGCAATGTTCTCATAAAACTGCAAATAAAGTTTTAAAAAGGAGCACTGGTAAATAGGATGGAGATCCAGACCATCAGCTCAGCGCTCCACAGAGCAGGAAACAGCTCAGCCATTTCCACGTGAAGCACACCAAGTGTTGAAATCTTTTTGAAGGCAAGTCCTTGAGGGATTTCTCTAAAATGATGCTTTTCCTACCAAACATTTACACCACGCTGTGTTGAATATATCATATATTCACATATTTATTTATACATAAGATGATATTTTGATCCACCTCCATCCTGGACATACATTTGTTTGTGTCAAATAAAATAATCATATTTTTCACTTGACATGAAGAGGAGAAAAGTGGGAGTGGCTACAAAATTCACATTCTGGAGCACATTTCCCACAGTGGGAGACTTATCTTGCGGTCCCCAAACCTCTAATGGCAAGCCAAAAAGAAGGAAGAGAGGAAGTCTGTGCTGGTCTCCAAGCTTTCATCCTCTGACCCCCATCAAGAACTCTGTAAGGCCACTGTGTCTCAGAGGCTGGATGCAGGATATGCTGCAGATGGTCACATCTGCCAGACTACAGGATAAAGAAAAATCAAAGTGCTTTTAACATAGTGCCAAGCCACAGCTAATTAACCTTTCCAATTGGAGAGACCCAGTTCTGGAGCTCGATGGGTGCCAGACCATCTCCCAGGAGCTGGGTCACCATCCCCATGCGCTCACAAGCATGTGGCTCTCTGGGAATAGAAGGAAAGCTGCCAAGTGTCCACTCTAGATTGAAGGTGTGGGGCCAGGACTGGGCTCTCCTTCACCCTGAGCAGCCCAACCCCTCCCAGCCGCAGGGAAGGGCTCGACGTGCCTGCCCTGGGGTGACACATGCCAGTGCTCTCGGAAAGAGGAAAATCTTTCCTTAATACAGATTTGCGAGCACGTGACAGGTGTTAAAAACATGCAGGATTTCATATGGGCGTGTTCCGATAGAGATGCACGACTCGGAATCGAGTTATCCACTTGTTTGCTCATTAAATCGCACTGTTGATTGTATGACTGTGCTGGAGATAATGCTGAGGTGCCACTGGCACGTAGGAGAGCTCTGCCACACACAGTATGTACATACTAAAGAATCCAAGAATCCCAGAACAGCTGGGGTTGGAAGGGACCTCTGGAGATCACCCAGTCCAACCCCTGCCCAGGCAGGGTCACCTGGAGCAGGTGACACAGGGACTGTCCAGGTGGGGTTGGAATGTCTGCAGAGAGGGAGACTCCACCACCCCCTGGGCAGCTGTTCCAGTGCTCTGCCACCCTCCGGGGAAAGAAGCTCTTCCTCGTGCTGAGGTGGAACTTGAGTTTTAGTTTATGGCCATTGCTCCTCGTGCTGTCACTGGCACCACTGAGCAGAGTCTGGCACCATCCTCTGGTACCCCTGGAGATATTTGTATGGATTGATGGGATCCCCTCTCAGCCTTCCCTTCTCCACACTAACCAGGCCCAGCTCCTGCAGTCTCTTCTCATGAGATGCTCCAGACCACATATATACATATACGTACATATATACGTACACACATACATATATATATATATATTTTTTTGTGCTCAGTTCCTCTGGGAGGAACCAGTCCTTGACATCTTCAGTGGGGACATGGAAGACCTCCCTTCACACTCTCAGCGGGGACAAGGGCAGACCTCTGCCACGCTGAGGGGGAGAAGATGGAGACCCCTTTGATACTTCCACTGAGAACCCTGTCCCCATCCCCTTCCACCCTGAGGGGGGGACAATGGCTGAGGCCCCCTCACACCGTCGGCGGGGCCATGGCAGAGCCCTCTGCACACCCTGAGGGGGACATGAAGCCCCACCACACCTGAGGGGCGATGTGAGGTGAAAAGCGGACAAGTAGAGCTGGGAGGCTCATATGAAAGAAACACCCCGTCGTGTTCCCCTCAAACACAATATTTAAACACAAAGTTTGCTGCCGTTTTGGTAAAAAAAAAAAAAAACAAAAAACCAAACAAACAAAACCAAAAAAACCCACAAACTGGCACTCGGGCGCGGGCCGGGCAGGGCCGGGCCGGCCCCCTCACAGCGCCCGGGCGCCAATGGCGCCGCCCCGGCCCGTGCTGCACCGCGCGCCAACATGGCGGCGCCCGGTGAGGGCCGCGCGGGCCGCGGCTCCGCGGCGTTCCCGGGCACCGACAGCGGCTCCTTCCCTTTCCCCTTCGCCGCCCCGCACGGCGCGGCGGGCAGCGCGGCGGGAGAGCCGCCCAAGAAGCCGTGCCGAGCCTGCACGGATTTCAAGAGCTGGCTCCGCGAGCAGAGGAAACAGGCGGGCCCGGGCGGCGCGGTGAGGAGCGGCTTCCCCGCGGGAGGGGCGGTGGGAGCCTCCCCGGGCACCCCGCGGGCGGCTGGCGACCCCCAGCCCCTGCAGAGTCCTCTCAGTCCTTCATCCTGCCCCCTCAAGTGTGGGGCTGCGCGAAGGGGCCCGGGACAGGGTTCTCCTCAGTGGGAGTGTGAAGGGAATGTCCATCTTCTCCTCGGGTGTGACGGGAGCTCTGCTCTTGTCCCCAGTAATAGCGTGAGGGGGGATCTACCATGTCTCCAATGAGAGTGTGAGGGGGCTCTGCCGTGTCACCCCCCTCAGAGGGTGTGAAGGAGGCTCAAATGAGAGTTCGAGCTTCTCTGAGAGTTTAGGGGGGCTCTGCCATGTCCCCAGTGAGGGTGTGAAGGACCTGTTCCCCCATCTCACCTTCCCACCCAGCGCAAAGGGGCTGTTTCCCCACCAAACCCCGGTGTCCTCTCACAACCCTCTCTCCCCCTTCAGGAGCTGGCTGTCGCAGAGGAGAAGGAGCCCCCGCCAGACTGTCCCCTGGACAGTGAGCAGCTGGGCCGCAGCACCTGGGCCTTCCTGCACACCATGGCTGCCTACTACCCCGACCGGCCCTCCGGGACCCAGCAGAGGGAGATGAGGGACTTCATCAACCTCTTCTCCAAGTTCTACCCCTGCGAGCACTGCGCTGAGGACCTGAGGGAGCGGTGAGTGCCCTCAGCGAGTTTTTGAGCATCCGAGGGAGAAGCGAGTGCCCTCAGAGCATTTTTGAGCATCTGAGGGAGAGGTGGTTGTCCTCGGTGGGTTTTTTGGGTACCTGAGCGAGAGGTGAGTGTCCTCAGCAGGTTTTTGTGCTGGAGGGGCTTGCCAGACATGCTGGGCTGCCGCAGCTGTTTTGCATATCAGCAGCTCTTCCTGCATTTGGGGTTTGTAGCTACCTGAACTGGTTTCTTCCATTATTGCATCAATCACAGGTACACTTAGTCAAAAAACAAACACCTGTCCTTGTGCTGTTGGGTTGTCTGTGTCATTTCCAGTTGCCAGGACCAGGCAGTGAATGAAGCCAAGCTGCAGCTGTCAGTATTCTATAGATATTTAGTGATAATTACTGTGCTCTCTCTGGGTTCTCTCTGTGACCCTGTGCCTGCTGTGGGTACTGAATTTGGTGACTATAAAGAAGTAACATTTGCTTCCTCTTCCCTGCTTGCAGATTACGGACAAATCAACCAGACACGAGTACCAGGAATAACTTCTCCCAGTGGCTGTGTCTTCTTCACAATGAAGTGAACAGGAAACTGGGGAAAGCTGAATTTGACTGCTCCCGTGTGGATGAGCGCTGGCGGGATGGCTGGAAGGATGGGAGCTGCGATTAACCCGGAGGGGCTGCCTTGGGAGCCCAACAGACCAATCCAACCCTTGTCAGGGCACTGCAGGGAGACGTGAGAGTCAGTGACTGTGTTTGTGTGTGTGTGACAGACCGAAAGGTGAAAGGAGATTGGAAAACCTTATCCTAATGATATTTTGATACATGATTACACTAATGTGTTACCTGAGGGACTGAGGCCTTATGTTTGGCACAGGAATTGCCAGAAACCTGTGAGATTGAGTCACTGAGAAACTCGGGGAGACCTTTTCATGATGACATTTCCTGATTTTAGGGGCATTTTCTTAGAATTCATTTTCCCTGAACACAGTTGTGTTCTCTGCAGGCACTACCCTGATGTTTTAGAAAATGCATCTGATTAATTGTAATTTTCATTTCTGTTCCGATAGAGAAAACTCATGGCTGGGTTTGGTGCCAAGTCTGTACCCTCAGATCTCTCTTTCCAGAAACTCCAATGTTTGTTGTTAACCTTGCATCCAGCTCCTTTGATAAAAGGCCTGGGGGCAGGTACATTTAATTTAAATACTAAAATCACGGAGCCTAGATTTCTCATTTTGGTTTTGTGTTTCAATTTATCATGTAAGAGGCCATTGCAGAAAGGGAAACTAAAGCATCTCCTCATCTGAGAAATGGAACAAAGTATCAACAGGGTGAAATTCAGATGTTTTAAGTGAATTGCTAATTTTCTTTGGATCCAGAAGTGATTTGGTGATAAGTTCAACTGAACTACTTATTCTTAAAGCAAATAACCTCTTTGTTTCTGCTGTGAACCTTTGTCTGGCATGAAAATAGCTCGAGACTGAGGACTGTGATGAAGCATAGTCAGCTTTAATTATTCTGAGATTAAATTCTTGATTGGTACTTGCTGGCCTGGCGCATACTCTGGTGTAATCCTCAGCTAAAAATCTCTCTAGAAAAGGGCTTTACAAGCCCCTGGAAGTACCTGAGTCCTGCTGAGGGCTGTGATGGCAGCTTTATGTCATCTTTATTGCAGAGGGGACTCACAGGAGCCCCTCAAGTGGGTTCCTCGGTGGGAACTGGTCAGAACCCAAACCCTCTGTATTTCCCTGAGTCAGCTGTGCTGCATCACTGTATTGGTAAGTGGGAATGTCAGACTCCAGAGGAGTAACACTGTAAATCAGGTACCCCACAATGCATAAAACACAGGCCTTTATAAAAGGAGACACCTACAGAGTCCAAATCATTTCAAGTTCCTCATGTAGGTCGTGATCTCATCCCTTCCTGCACTTCTGGCTGGGAGAAGTTTGCACAAACCCTGACAACAGCAGGTTTTTTTCCTTCTGTGCTTCCTGCTGAGGTTTTGTTGCACGTTTTAGTGAAGCTTCCTTATTTCACGCCCCCCAGCACACCTGGAACTTTACCCTTGCTTTCCTAGTGAGCATTAACTGGAAATGTTAATGGTGCTGCTGTAATTGGAGTGATGACAGCTCTTGTCTGAGACTTTGCTCCTCACACCTGTGTGTGGGGCTCTTCAGTGGTTAGAAAACCAGTAACAACTTTGGAAACACATCGTAATGGTTTTATGGCACAGGCAAGTCCTTTCAAGTCAGACCTGTTAAAACAAGATGGGACATTTTGTGGACTGGTGACTCCTGAACTCTTTATAAACGTCCCTAAACACAACCCCAGCCAAAGTGATGATAAGGTACTGCAGGAGGTGTGAGAGCTGTCTTATGATTGAAGGTATCACTCAGTTTATTAGAAGTGCTCAGAAAATTTTCCTCTCAGCATGTTGAGATTTTTGGAACAAATAAATCCCAGCCAAGATTTGTGTGTTTTTGGTAATAAACTCAGTTCCCAAAATGAAGCACACTGGTATGCATTAGTGGGGAAGGGACCAACAAAAAAGCATTTACTAGGACTGTAGGGAGGAAAAGGAGTGTGAATCCTGCTCTAAATCAGGGGGAGCAGCAGTGGTAACCCACAGTTTTGGTCACCTTGTGTGGTTCAGGGAGGTGGGGGACGTGAGTGGGAGGAAAAGTGTGTCCTGTCCTGGCAGGGGTAGGGAAGAGCCTTAAAACTGAAGTTGGCATCTCTAGCAAATGCTTCCCAAAAATGAGGCCACCAGCTGTGGCTGCCAGGATGTTTTTAGGGCAGTTTCTATCTTTGCTAAGTGGCCATTTGGTAAAATCTGTGCTTGCACTCTGTTCTCTCATGTTTTTAGCTTGGCAGAAGAGCTTTGACTTACACATTTCTCAGGCATATCCTCAACTCTGTGGACTTGACTGTGTGAGGAGAGGGAGGATTTGTTTTGCTGCTCATTTGTACCACAAGTTTTAATTTTAGGTAAGGAAATTCCACTGGAGATACTTGTACTCATGTACAGAAAATAGTGAGTTCTCTAAATGCACTTGATTAAATCTAGTTTTAAAAATCTCTGTATTCAAATTATATTTCCCGTTGATGTAAAAATAATAAAGCAACTGAGTTCATTCCTGATTCCTTCTGAATGGGATGGTAGGAAAAGGGATTATACTGTGCTGGTGTGTCTTACCTCTGTATGCCAACATATTCCAGTTATATCTCTGTATATTTATATGTATAGATATATACTGTTGTATTTTAGCTTGATGGCTCAGGTGAGGTTCTGGGATTCTGTGTGGATTGATCAGACAAGGTGGGGCTGCTCCTGGTCCTTTTCTGTTGTGCTGCTGAACTGATGGAATTCTCTGCAGGCCAAGAAGCTACAAAAATTCAGGGATTTTGTACACCGGGTCCTGTCAGGTCGGAGTTTGGTTTTATGTGGGGACTAGCGGGAATTTTGATGGGATGCCAGGATTTTTTTACTTGCTGACAGTGTTAAGGGCAGTGTTGGCGTTGGGAGCAGCTCAGATCTTGCTGATTTGGAGCAGGGTGGCTCAGGACATCTGTAATTTCACCTCCACCACACGAGCATGCACATCCCATCCCATTTCCCAGGAAAAGGAAGTTGTTTCCTTTCCATACGAGGAGCCCTTGTGAGGAGGAGCAGGGCCAGGAGCAGGTACTGCCCAAGGAGCTCATGGGGCCTTGCTTGGGAGCTGCTCCTGTGTAACAGGTACCCGACTAACCTTGCAGCTTCCCAAATTCCTCGCTGTTTCCATGGTTTGCATTCACAGCTGGAGTTCATTTTTATTTTTTCCTTCTTGTGTTTTCTCAGAAAGCAAAGAGCAGGGAGCCACGAGGGACTCATCCCCTCCACGGATGGCAGGCAGAGTTGCTAAGCAAGTAACAGTGCAGATGTTGGCAGAAGCACCACTGTGCCTTTGACATTTTTCCAGGGATTAGCTGTTCCTCTGCAGTGTGTTGGGTGTACACAGTGTCCTGTTTACAGTAAGATTCACAAGAATTGCTTTGCTTCTGTGTCTTTTGCCTCAGCCTGTTCCAGGCAGTGTGTGATGTTCTTCCTGTTGGAGTTTCACAGGCTTGAAGAGGGGAGGGTTTAAATTTTGGGTTGGGTATTTTTTGGCCCCTTCCCATCATCATTGATTTGTTTTTCCATTCCTGGCTGTTCAGGGTTTATGTCTGAATGATGGAGAGGAGCAATGGAGTATTTTGTGTAGTCAGGATTAAGCACTCCAGTAGAAACAGCCAACAGGGTGGTGTGGAGTCAACCCTTGACTTCGTAGGCTAATAGGGAATATAATAAAACAAGGAAAGCAAACCTTGGAAGGCTAAGGAAAACAAAGGAAAGCTCATGGATGGAGGGAAATCAGCAGTTAGAACACAGAACTGTCCAAGGGGACAAGGGTCAGCATTGGGATCAGCTGGGACACTGCCCTGGATTGGCACATCCCACAGGGAAGTGTTCATGAACATTTATGCTGATGCCAGGCTGGCTGTCACTCAGTTCAGGTGGCTTCTGTGTCACTGCAATGTGCTTCACAGGGAAAATTTGCTTTACAGTTCACTAAGCCAACAGCAGAGGGCCACAGAGGATGGATTTCATTGCATTTCCGTTTATTTCCTTATATTTCCTTGACTTTCCCATCTCTTACTCTTCTCTGGAACAGACTGCTGCAGATACCACTTTTTACCTTATCCTAATCTCTTTCCTGTGATTTTGGGAGGAGATTTTGGTACCTTCAGATACTTTTCAAACTACTGTGCAAACCTCTTGTCAAATTACCTAAGTGAGGGATGTTATTTCTCTGCCTGCAGCTGAAATCTGCACTTGGAAGCATAATAAAAGACTGGATTCTGTTTCCAGCATGTTTCCTACCTGATCTTCAGCCCATAGTTGGTCAGATATGGAGAAGTTCTGGCTCTTTTTGACCATTAAAAGATTGGAAAGGGTGAATTAACTTCACTGGATAA